TTCTAAAGAATCATTGATAATTGCTAACACTTAGCTGATGGGTTAGCTTATAAGATGAAAATGCAATAGCAATTAAACATGATAACTACGTAGTTCTGCATAAATAGTTAAAAGATAGCAGAAAAAAGCAGCCAATTAAGGTAAAGGTTAGCCTGAAACCCAGTGGTTTGAATAATGTCATGAAAATAAGATGTACCGAGACTGATCCACTGCAAAATGGAAAATGTCAATTTCTTCCACTAACACTGGAACAACCCTATCCTCAAACGTCAGAGAAGGATTTCAGGCAAGGTTGAGATGATTTGGAGTTGGAGACTGACAATAAAATAAAATAAAAAATGTTATGGTAAATGTGTCACCAAAACAGCTCAGGTATTACTCTGGAGATTTAAAATTCCTCTTCATGCATAAGAGAGCAAGAAGAGACACTTTTCTCCAGCATAGGCAGGGACACGTCTGTCTTTTCTTTTCCCTCTGTATTCCCTGCTGCCTGAAAAGTCCTGATAAGAAACCCAGAACACGGAATCTGGGAACGAGGAAGAGGAGGAGGAGGAACCTGAGCCAGCTGAGGGAGGATTCAGGTTGTATGATGGAGTCACTGATTACCTATTTTCATGTGTTTTTTTTTTTTTTTTGTTTATTTATTTTTATTTTTTTCCTCTTCTATCTCCCCTGCTTTAGCTGTCTGGTTGCAACAATGGTGCCTCTCAGTTTTTCTCAGGTGTCTAATGTCAGCATGGAATTATTGCTGTCATTGTATCAGGGCTAAGACGTGTTGTTTTCTCTCAGAAGCAGAGACTGTTGACTCTGAAGGTTACTGTAGGAAAATTGTTTGTTTTTTGCAACAATTTAAAAGAAAAATGTATAGTTTATGAGTTGTTTTGGCAACATTTTAGATATACTATTTTGGTTTGTTTGTTTTTGGTCGGGTAACCTTTTTTTATTACTATTCACTTATTTAAGTATTTCTAGTCCAAACCCCAAAAAAAACTTTTTTAGTTTTGATTAATAACTTAATTTAAGCTACAGTTTTAGCTAGCGTCAATTAGTGAAGCTAGTCTAAAGATTATCTGTAGCTGTTTGAAGTACTGTGTACACTTTTAGCTGTACTGTTAATTCTATTGTTAGTCCATTTACAATTTTTTGATTTTTTGCAGTTGACATGCATTTTTTTTTTGTATGTAGGCCAAATATTATAATACCGGACAAATAATGAAGGAGTAAACATTTTGTCAGAGGTAGATTGATTAATAGCATTTTATTTTGGAATTGAATAGTTTTTTTTTTCTAAATCAAACTGTGCCTTTCCCACCATTTTTATTTTTTCTTACATATCTTAAACTTTAGGTTGGTAAAGCTAGTTTGTGTGCTTTTTCAATTACCTGAATTCAAATGAATCAGATATGCTAAATCCTAAAAGAACATCTGTCTAATTTAAAAAGTGCATAGAACAAATTCATTATTCAACTGCAGTGAATGTTTATGACCTATAAACATACAGTACTAACATATAGCTCTATTTACATTCAGGAAAAGGCAGCTTTTAACTTTTCTTGTTGACACTAATTAGAAAAACAAATTAATATATGGATGACAGTGTAAATTATATAATGTTTGTCTTCCGTTTTTCTTTCAGTTCACATTATACTGCAGACATTAAAATGTGCAGTGAGGGAGAAGGCAGACTGTATATTTTTGTTATTGTCGACATCCAAAGCCCAGACAGAGAATGAGTGACAGAACCCACCTATGCAAGAGTCAGTCTCCTAACACATTCTGACTTCTCTCTGTGTGTGTGTGTGTGTGTGTGTGTGTGTGTGTGGCAGCCACAGCCAAGCCTATTATTTTGACTCAGTTCCCATGGTCCTAAATATATTCAGAGATGTTTAAAAAGGCACAGTAATATAAGGAAACTGCCTGACAATGTAGTTTTTAACAACGCTTCATGTGCACAGACAGAAAAATGCTGCATTTGTCGCTGATTATTTCCAGTCACACATTAGGTGAACTAGTGAGCAGAGCAGTATATGTGGAAGAACATGTCACTCAGAGCAGTGCTGTTGGTTCACTGATGTATATTTAATAGTTTTTTTGGGCAACACTGTAGAACTATGGCACAGAGGAATAAGTTATAAACTCCAGCTCTGCCTGCAAAGACCAAACTTGACAACAGTGAATTTCTAAACAATTCAAGTCAAAGTTCCTAAGGCCAAAGTTTAGTGTTGTGCACAAATATAATTTGTGTTTATTAAGCTCCCGTCTATCATTACAATCTCATTAATCCAAATTCTACATAATGAGATTTCCTTTTTGCAATTTTAGAACATTGGTTTTGATGCCATGTCTTAGATGCAAACCCAAAAGTCAATGTGAAATTTTTGGTGGGGGTTATTGTGTCAACAGGAGCAAAGAAAGACTAGAATTTTCAAGTGGCTTTGAAAATTACTAGGAGCTAGTAACAAGTGGATGGTTATTCCAGACACATGTCATGCTTTGATTTTTATTTAACCTTTTTTTTTTTATTGGATTCGTAGTCATTGATAGGTGTTAACATCATATCAAGCTAATGTGTTGTTTTCCTATATTTCTGCTATTGCATTTAGCTACTCTTGGCCCAAGACTGTTATTTATCTAGCAATATTTTTTACTAACTTAAATTTTACCAGAGTTTACTTTTGTTTTGTTAGTTTTTTTTATTTTATTTTCTATATTTAATAAATAAAATGTTTAGGGTTTATTTTTGTTTTTATACCCTTCTGATATCTTTAAGAGTCTTTTTTTACCGAGCTTTCATTCACCTTTGGTTTAAATTGGTTACTTGTATCTTACTTTGCTCTACCTTTGTTATCTTGTGGCATTTGCTATGTTAATTTCAAGTCTAAAGACATTGAGCTGACTCTTTTCCTTCTAACAATAGACTTGTGAAAGAAATGTTGACCTTTACCAAGTCTGTTAGCATGGAACACTGGGAGATTCTTCACAATTCTTTCTCTTATCTGTGTTGGGTTGAACAGTTCAATGGTCGAGCGGGTTGGTTTCCTTTAAATACTACTTGAGGAAAAGTACTAAATAAATGCATTGCAGTACAGGGGAGTGAATACGCATATGCATGACAGTCTAGAGCGTTTCAGTAATAGCATCTGGCCCTCGGGTATTTAAACATGCTGTAATCTGCCCCCCGTCCCTCCCCCGCCACGTCCCTGACTCCCCGCCCGCAATCCAAAGGTGCAAGAGTTTATGAGGGTGAAGAGCCTTTGAAATTGACTTTGTATCTGTGTTGTTAAGAGGAGAAAGAATAACACTGCAATGCCTCACTTCCTGTCTCTCCAAGGGAATTCTGCTGCCTGTCAGGGATCCAGACAACTACCTTATTAATTAGCCTTTGCAGCTTTAGGCCAACCTGCTAACCCATTTAATGAGTAAATAATTGCTTCTCGGGTCTAATGTCATCATGTCTTTTATTAATATGGGACGTTATCTCAGAATTACTCTTCAGCCCTCAGAGTGCTCAAAAACAAATTTGGAGCAGAAGGGGAGGTGGCCCCAAGGTCCGTCTTTAGGCTATAAATCTTGGAGGACTGGTTCCAAAAATACGAAATCATGATTTGATTCCTCTAGGATTTTTTTTTAATTGTCAGAAGACTTTTTGACAAGGGATTGTTATCAAATAATTGGAAAAGTGCGTCCAACTTCAACTTCATCTTCTGAGAACTGGTACAGACACATGAAATCTCTACCTCGGCTCAGGGTTTGGACGGGTGCTGGAAATCCTTAAAAGTGCTGAAATTCCAATGTTGGGTGTTTTGAGGTAAAGAAGATAGGACAGTAAGTAAATAGGCTTTCAGATACATATATACTACATATACCCATGCAATATATGAAGAAATAACAATGGTAATATATGTTTAACATATTTGGTGATTATAAATTATAATTACAAGTGTTACAAAATGCATTACAACTGTTGCATCTCTTTTTTAACGTATTTTTTAAATTAACTGAATTAAGTCATACTAACCAAAAAGGGCTTTATTTGGTCCATGATATCCCTAAACAGCGGAAAGGTTTATTGCTGAGTAAAAAATAATTTATAATGCAGTGGTCTCTCTTGAACAGAGTGTAAAAGATTACACAAAAAATATTTGGAAATAAAAATGTAAAACAAGAACCAGGCAAGAACTCTTTTGCAAAATAATATCAATGTCCTGATTTTTTTTCTTGATGTAATGGTAATGTGCCAAAAATGTCTTCTTATGCGTGAAACCAGTGCTGGAGTGGAACTTCACGAGGCTGCTGACTTCTGCTAAACTTAGGACATTTCTTCTGGCAAAAATTCAACATTTTTACCCTTAATATTTTAACTTTATTCTCAGAAATTGAGAAATGTATCCTCATAAACCTGCAACATTATTCTTATAGTTATTTTTTTATAACAGTGGACCTTATATATGAAAAGCTTTAAATAAATAAGGATAAAAATAAAGAAAAACAATTATTAAATAAGCCTACATAATGTACTGTTTATTTCATGACTGTTCACTTAAGTTTTATTCAAATATTTTTAACATAAAAATATTATTAAAATAAATAATAATTTCAAATTGACTTTTGAATTTATGCTACTTTTCAATATATTCATCTCTATGTAAAATATGTATATATCAATCATCAATGTTATATCAGTGTTTCTCATTAAAATGTCACTTCATTTGCAGTAAAAGTGTATTTAAGAATGTACATATTGTTGAAGGAAAACACATTAGAAAATTATTTAATTTTTAAAATATGTGTGTAAATTCAACAGAAACCTATTCCGCCTAATTCGTCTGTCGCTCTTTCACCCGTTACGTCAGGCGTCACTTAAACATCATGGAAAAACACAGCTCTATTTCATGTAAAACACATACGCAGCGTGTAATTGTTTTTATTACAAACACTAATGACCGTACAGAGCACAGAAAGTCAGTGTCAGCGTGATAAATAGCTGTTTCTGTCCCCAGGGCCACACTATGATGAGGAGCAGGGGTAATTCTACTCACTGCTATCATTTTACATATCGACTCCAGTGTGGACCATCCTCTGAGGCCTGAGTGGCTCCATGCTAAGTGAGTAACAGTCGTTTCTCTTTCCGTTGGAAATCATTAACCTGTCTTTGCTGCTCTATAGCTTGTTTGTGATTGATGCATTACAAATCAATGCAGCTTTTTATGATGTTGATATCGTCACTGCAGCAGGCTCCACTGTGTATTTACTCCGTGTCGTATGCATGCACATCGGAGTCTCCGCTGCAGTCATTCGCAAGTTCCTAACTAAATGGATCTGCAGACTCTGTTACATGGACTCAGTATCGACTGCAGCTGTGAGTGTTGGTGTGAACGCTTTTATTTGTTGGTACTGTGTTGGTGTATGTGCATGTGTCCAGGAGGAAGCATGTCTCTGGTGCACAGCATGGACAGATGGTTAGATGGAAATGTCCATCTGAGTCCTTCAGGGTATTTTACAACTATTTTAATTGGTACTATTGAAGTGAATCCTGCAGTGTTTACCCCCTTGGTGCAGTTCCATTTAGCTTAGTTAATGTCAGTCTGAGGGTTTGGATCCAACAAACACTTTCCCTTTTACATCAAAGTGCTGGTCCTGGACCAGTTCAAAGATGACTCTGTACTCCTCTGGTATGAATGTCTTCTGACACACCTGCAAGTGGTACATGTACTCAGTGAAGATAGAGTATTTCAATTGTTTTTATACACTATAATGGCAAATTAAAGCTGTGGTAACAAGCAAAATGTATCTTAAAATTGGGAAGTGAAATATTGACCTTAATGCTGTGGATAAAGGACCAAACACATTAATTGTATCTATTAACAATTTGTGGAGTATTTAAATACGTCTGTCTGTGCCTTGACTAAAACCACAGACCAGTATTTCCATTAAAATTGTAACTGATTACTTACATAAACAATGCCCTTAAAGGTTTATGGTTTATGGACAGATATTTCTGAAATCGGTTTTCCTTTATTGTAGATCTGTTTGAAGCAAAATAGATGATAAAGCATGACAGAGACGGAGTGTTTTAGTTCAAACTCAGTGTGATTGACCGATGGATTCGTTTTAAGAAGTTGACAGACCAAAGTTTGGTAGAAACTACAAAAATAAATACAAATGTTTTTTGTGCAAGACTCCAGCAACACATTGTTATGGGATTAAGTGGTGAAAATACTCCATGTGTTTTCATTCAAAAATATGCCCGAGATTACATCTTCCTCAGTCTGGCAGTTTCCTGTGCTGTGGGAGAACAATGTCCTTTGGGCTTAGGCTGAACTCGACAGCATTCAGAGTCGAGTCCTATGGTAATTGGCTAGTGTCTGGGTCGTGATCACATCAAGCATCAAGCCCCTGACATGTGCAGGGAGGTGCTCAGGCCCTGTCACTGCTGCCTGCAGCCCTGGTTAAATATTAATTCTTCGGGTCACTTTCACATTCACTCGGATTTTTCTGCTTTTTCTTTCTTATTGTGTAACCAAAATAAATGTACTTGAAAATCCAATATAGAGTCGAGATTCAAGCAGTTTCTGCCATAAAGTCCTTTTAAATGGCAAGGTAATGACAATAAGTTCATTTGTAAATAATGCAGACGAGGAAATTAGCCTTGAAATGATGCTTATTAGCAGTAACAATGGTTTTAGTGTCAGCACTGAGACCATCCTATCCTCATCAATGGGTTTTTTACGACTCGTTCCACGTTCACTCAGAAACTATTATGAAAGGAAACAATTTCTTTACATTTTGTTTCTGCCTGAATTTTCATCCCACAGTGTTTGTGTTTACAATATGTTGCACTTACGATGAGTAAGTTCAGTATATAGCATATACACCAATGTAGTTTATGCCAAGCATATAGTTGATTTTATGATACATAATTTAGACGTGAAAATGATCTATAAAGGAAAAACATGACGGGAAATCAAAGGACGATCTTTCTGAGATGATCTGTCGTTCTGTGTATGGATGAAAAAATCCAGATAGGTCACTCAGATGAAAAAGAAACATTCAGCTATAATTTGTATTAACTCTGACAGAACTTTTCACTCCGACTTCTTTGCTTTTGACCTCTGCGAGCACACCACAGCGCACTGTCCGTGATGATAATTCGTGCGGAAGGCTGTTGACAAGTTGCACTGTGTGTGTGGACAGTTGTGAAACAGAGAGAGAGACAGAGGAAGAGGGAGAGAGAGAGCAAAAAGCTGTGTTTCTGAGGTTCTTGTTGATGTCTAACAGCTATGACAACAGCTGCTTTTTGACTGGCTGGTTATGAAGCAATTTGTCACGACTCCTGACAACTTAGTCGAAAAAACCAGCAGCAGAAAAATGTAAGTGTCAATGCAGCCTTTGTAACTCAGATAGACAGCAACAAGTCGAGGCGTGGTGGAGCTGCTGCAGCTGGTGGCGGCGGCGGCGGCGGCGGTGGTGGTGCTGGTGGAGGCTGAGTTCTGTAAATGAATGAATTCTTGAACTGTCCTGAAGGGCTGAGCCCTGTGAATGTTCATCTTTAATGCTCTAAGCCAAAACGTATGAGTGATGGACATTTAGAAAGTAATTTCTCTTCTGGGAGAAATTACTTCAATTACTCTTTTTGACACCAATGTTGAGAAAAAGTGGAAGAAAAATCAGTGAAACCAAGTTGGCTTTTTGGTGGGTTTTACTGACTTCTTTACTTATAGCTATTTCTACACAGCTATAGTTCGGGTTCCAACAGCATAAGGTTGAACCTTTGAATGAGGTCAAAAAATAAATTGGTTTTGAAAACTCAAGGTAGGTTTCCAGTCTACCCAGAAAACAAAAAATAAATTGGTTTTGAAAACTTAAGGTAGGTTTCCAGTCTACCCAGAAAAGTAACAGGGATGTGAATAAAACTACGACACTTTACTGAAAGCTTAATCAATTAGGGTTGCATTAATGCAAATATATTTGCCCTTCACACTTGTAGCCACTGGGGGCAGTGTTGTCACAGGTCTCTCTTTACTGAAGCGTCTTCTCCCACCATATTTAAACATTTACTAACGCAATACGTTTACCACAGTTGTTGATAATAATAATGTTTTTTATATATAAACAATTAATTAATTAAGTCTAACATTAACAGAAAAATACATGAATGAAGCTTTTATTAATAACCTGCCTCCGTGTTCTTAAAGTATATTTAGACCTGCAGTAATGACATATATCTTTATAGTTTGAAATCTTTCAGCCTTCTGGCACTGTGTGCTGCATTTATCTCTGTTAACGAAAGAAGTATTCCTTTTAATAAACAAGACTATTAGGTTTAATTAGTTAGCTCTGCCAGTGTCTCTGCTTTATTGGTAATTGATTCTGAATGTCAAAGACAATTTGCCGTGACACACTACACTGATTAAAATATTTCTATTGCCATGTTTAACACTGGAATTTTGAAAACAGTCAGTACTTTGTTTCCCCACAACCAGCCACACAATCTGAAAGAAGATACTAACACTAAGAAGAATTATGCAAAGATTGGATCATTGTGTGTCTTATCTTAAGAATAGTCTGTTTCCTTTCCTAAAAAAGAGTCTCAGGTAAGCTCAGGTATGGTTAACACAAAATTGCCAATAATGACTTAGCTGTCCTAGGAAAAAAAAAGTTTTTTTATTTAAGGTCACCTAGTTGATAGCGTTTGACTGTTTTATATATTTTATTTCTTTTTCTCTCTCTGATCATAATGCGGATTATTAGAATTGTTCGGTGTTGTATTAAGGTAGCAGACCATCATATTTTTTTTAAATTGTATTCTGAAGAGTGTAATTTGTCAGTCATCTTTTTTTCCAACTTGTGAAAAGTGTTAATCCACACGCTGAGCTCCCTCCAAGTCCTTTTCATTGGCTACAAAACCTAAGGGATGTCTTTTAAATTGAAGGCCATTTGCACTCATTCATACAAAAACACCTGTGGGTTGTATGATTAATTAATGCTACATTGAGAATTAAACATTCCCAAATGTCACACAGTGGACTTTGACACGTACCGATTCAAATGTTACATTTGGCCAAGGTAATTTTCCCTTTTTTGCATGGTAATAGTAAATTAAGTCAGCCTCAGTATATTTTGAGCAGTGGTCGCTGTTTTACCACAGCTTCCTCCAACACAACCCATTCAATTGAAGGTAATTAGAATCAATGAAAAGGGAATTATTCAGAAGATTGAGACAAACAGCTAATCTGAGCTCCACAATTGAATTGTTTTGTTGGCAATAAAGTGTCCAATCAGGGCTGGACACCTCTCCTCTCCCTGCTGACTTCAGGTACCCGAAGACAATACATACTCATTTGCTTAGTAAAGATTTTTTTTTTTTTTACCATGTTGATTTTCAAATTCAATTTAGAGCCAATTTCTCGTCGAGGAACAGAAAAGGTCCTGTGGATTGCTGAGAGGATTGCAGTCGTTGTTCCGAGCATTGTTTTCTTTCAGGTTGAAGAGAGAATTATTGATTTGGATTCAAATGAAGCTGCTGTTGAAGGCAAGTGGTCCATTTGTTGAAGCCTGCTGGCGTGCATCACTTCAGGTAATGGGGAAGCATAATGAAGCATGTTAACTCTGCGTTACATCATCATGGAAGTCGTCAGTGGCGGCACTTTGATTGGCAACTGTCTCTGAATCGATGGCATTGACTAACATTTATGACTCTCCATCTGTTTTATTGTCAGGCAGTGTGGGTTTTTTCAGTAGGTGGGAAAACCAGACATAATCTCTTCCTCTGTCATGTTTTCCGACAGTTTGTGGGGCGTCATTGAGTATGTGTGCTGCAGTCATTTTCAGTCGTACAGATACAGATGGTACAGATGATGTTAGCCTGTAGAACAGGAGGGCAGAAGGTTCAAATCCTGGCCATGTCATGCAAAAGATGTGGAAATTAGTACCTGCGGCTTCTCTTCCCACCACACACCACAATAAAAATAGGTATCAAAAAGCTACTCTACTGTGTAATGGACTATCCTTCCACTTGGCGGTGCATGACCTGAGCATGTTTAAATCATGGCTTGAGGGTCAATGGTTGTTTACCACAAACACGTGCTTTCTTACAGATTACTTT